TGCACTGACAGCCACCGCGCGGCTCTGAGAGCCGGGCAGACCGCGAAGAGAAGAGGAGGAGGAGGAGATGAAGGCTGCCGCCCGCTGCCTGTGCTGAGACGCTGAGGGCTTCCTGCACCTGCGCTTTGCCGGTGTCGGCACCGACAGGATTTAACTTTTTCTTCCGCCGCGTCTCTGGGTTCAGATATGGAGTCGCCCACCAAGGAGATCGAGGAGTTTGAGAGCAGCTCTCTGAAGTATCTGCAGCCAGAACAGATCGAGAAGATCTGGCTGAGGCTCCGTGGACTGTGAGTGCTTCACTGTGTGCCTGAGCGCCAGTGTACCTCATTCTCAGTATCTGTGTAGATTATTCTGAGTATCGGTATACCTCTTTTCTGAGTATCAGTGTAAAATCATTATTAGTATTGGTATAAGTCATTCTGAGTATTGGTGCACCTCATTCAGTATCAGGATGTTTGAGTGCTATTATGTGTGTGAGTAGCCTATATGTCATTCTGAGTATCAGTGTTTCTATGTTTAGACATTTTTCTGTATGCATATCAGTGTACCTTGTTCTGAGTATCAGTATGTTAATGTGAGTTCAGCTATTTCATAGTTGCACTAGTTACACTTTCCACTTGTGGTTGCTTGTGTGTGTAAGCGTGTGCGTATGTATGTCTGATTTGTGCATTTGGTCTTGTGTCTTTCTGTATTTGTAAGCTTGCATCAAAAATCTCTCTTCATTTGGATGTCCACACATGCTCGTGTGTTTGTCCCAGATCCATCACTTTTATTTTGCGTTTGGTCCGTAATATCTGTGAATTTGACAGGTTGATCTTTCTGCTAGAATGGAGACAACAGCTGCCAGTTATCAAACGAACGAGCTTCACCTCCAAATCTGAACAGGTTTCTTTATCTAGTCCGTTTACAAACAGCAGTGCGTGTTATCGCTACCCATAACACATGCCGTCACTGGAGAGAACTTTATCCCTTATCAAGCAAATGGAAAAAACATATAAATGTAGGTGTTGAATTTCATTTCACGAAAACAGTGGGGTGAAAATGAGCCGATTACCTCGGGACGGCAGCGCGAACTTCGTCACGTCGCCAAACTTCATCGGGGGAAACCGGCTCCCAGTTTGTCACAGCGGCTTCTCTCACTCTCTTCGACCTCTGCGGATTTTCTGCCCGCCTACCGCCTTTTTACGTAGGGGAGGGGGGTAGCTCTAATATCGTCCCTCCATAGCATTAGGGCAGCCTGATTAAATTAGCAGGTGCGCTATAATTAACATCACGGAAAAATCAAAGCGAAAGGGAGAGATGCGCTGGGTAGGCGCGCGACACTCCCCAGGGCGCCTTCTGAAGCATCGCGAGGAACACCTGCTTTTAACTGCATGGAAAGTCATTATTAGCGATTATTTGGAGTAATTATTAAAACTCTTTTTATCATGAGTGCCTGGAAACGCTTTCGCACCAACAAGTTTTTTGCTTGCAAGGTAAACAATTATAAATGTTATTCAAAAATGATAAATGTTCTGCGTTTATTCTCATTGGGGGAGGTGTATGATTGACAGGCATCACATCACCAGTCCCGCCCACCAAAGACCTCTGTAACAAAGAGGAACGTCTGGGTGTGTATCTGTGTGTGTTTGTGTGTTCTTGACATATTGCCAGGCTTGTTCGTCCCCATGGTCCCTGCCGTATAGCCTAGTGCACTCAGTAATAATCCTGAGCTGCTGGATGGCTGCTCAATCAGGGAGGCCAAGCAAATCCTCGCTGTGTGCCAGGGCGGGCTGACTGGTGCCTCCTGTCGCTCCCAGCCTGCCTCGTTATCCCCGTGTTTCAGAGCGTCTCCTCACGACTACGGGTCTCAGCACATACGTACACAAGTGTGGTGATGTTACGCAGAAAATCCCCCTTTGGAGGAGAGAGTGAATCCAGCGGCCGGCTCTGACACGCGCTCAGGGCACCCAGGTCTCTCTTTCTCTTCTTGAGGCTTGATTTGCTGCCTGCAGCACACAGCTCTGTCTCTAGGGCGGCGACAGCCCCTGCTGCCACCCACTGAGGATCCCCTCCAACGTGGCTCAGCATTCATCTCCAATAAGGGGTTTGCCTCCCCGCCGCAGCATCCCCATGTCAGCTGTTGGTTGCTTTTGCAGAAACAATGTCAGACCAAACCCTTAGCCAGAACCCGCCAGACCGCAGATCTTCACTGCCACTCGTATGAAGCATGGAGGATAAAAATACACATGGTGTTCTGATCAAACTCTGATAAATATTTGTTTTGCTCAACAAAATTCAGGCTCAGCAGATCTTCCTCCCAGGTCTCCTTTCTGCCATCATGCCAGCTGGTGTCTCCAGATATTCTGCCTTGTAGAATCTATATGATTCTGCTAGCCCATCTAACTGTCAATTGATCAATTGATCCATCCATCCATCTTCTAAACTCTTTTCTTGGTAGTGATTCCTTTTGTCTGCTCAGTCCTGCATCTGTCTTTTAAACACTTATTGTGGCCAGAATTCCCTTTTGTTTGACCATCCATCCATCTATTCATCTATTCATCCATCCATTGATCCATACACTCATTCCTTGATCCATCCATCCATCCATCCATCCAGGTACCACAGAGCTGGGGTACATTTTGTTTTTGTGCTTCTGTAAGATGTGTGCATTCAGCTTGTGTATTTTCTCACCAAGAAAGTGTGCTTGTGCCGTACGGCCTCATGCAGAGCTTTTACATATTAATGGATGAATGTTGAGGTTAGGGTGAATTTTACCAGGTCACATTTACTGTAGTAGATTCCAGTTCTCTAGGAAATCGGCAGCTTGTCTGTGGAACCTTCCATTTCATCTGCCTGTCTCTCCTGTTCTGTCACAGGCGGAAATACAAGAAGACATCACAGAGGTAAGCCAAGGCAGTACTCCAAGACGGTAGGCCAAGATGTTACTTCAAGATGATACTCCAAGATAGTACTCTGAGATGGTACTCCAAGACAGTACTCTATGGTACTCTGAGTCCAGACCTGGGGTATGGGTGCGAGCTTGACCAGACAAAAAAGAGCCTTGGATCAAACGATACACACTAAACAATTGATTGTCTGGTTGTCTGTGATGTGACCCCACTTGGCCCAGGGTGGGCGTTTAAACGATGATGGCAAGTGGAGCGAGACAGTCACCCTGGCTGATATTAATGTCATTCATGCCGCATACATTCAGACGTGCTTGTTTTATGACCTCTCTACACACTCGCTGCTGTATTTTCAGACCAGATGGCTCCGATATTGTACATCACCAATCTGCAGGATTTTCCCAGGCTCCAGATCAAACTTAATTAAACAAACACTAAACAAACTTAATTTACTCATAAACTACCTAAAAAATCAATTTAGAAAATAATTTCGCCATTAGTATGATTTTTTTTGAGTGGGGGATTCATTTGCAGAGAAAGGCAATGTCGCACGTTGATAGGATGGCTCTGATTCGTTATCACGGTCCATTAAACGAAGACGGCTGAAGATGGAATTTTCCGGCATCAGAATGTGCAGCTGTCCCCCCCCCCCCCCCGCCCTACCCGCCTGCGCCGGATTGACAGCCCCCTCACGAGCCTCTGTAATTACGCCGTGACTAATTGTCTGTAAAGAATGCAGGGGCTTTGTGTGTTGGTGTGTGTGTGCCTATGTCTGTGTGTGTGTGTGTGTGGGGGGGGGGGGGGCAGTGATTCTTTGCTCTGAAACTCTCTCTCACCCACCCCCCAGCCGATAAGGCCCCACAGCGTCCCACCCTTCCCCTGACTAAAAAAGACTTCAGCCCGCTCTCGAGGATTAGATCCCTCTCTGGGCTTGCGTGAGAGCTGACTGACTCGCCTCTGACTCGCCTCTGACTCGCCTCTGCTCCGTGCCGTGCGCTCGTGCCCCGATCCCGGTCTGCTCCGTCCA